ATGGCCACTAGCCCAATACTCCTTTGTTAGTTCACCTAACTGTTTCAATAAAACGAAAGTGAAGTATAGCTCAAATGGTTAAGGCTTACTTCTCGGTTCCAGGGAATACTGAGATCTATTTTTATCATCCGCCCTTATGGCTCTCTAAATACCAAAAAATAAAATCTTTTCAATAGAACAACCATTTATAATTATCAGTTCGATCTGACTCTTCGGAGTATAACAAATTTTGCTTTTCTGCTAGAAATCTAATTCATTTAACAACAATAACTTCAACTAAAATAAGTACTTGGTTGGTTGCTAGTGTAGTACATAGTGGGAAAATTGAAAGTTTACAAAAAGTACGTATAGTACTTCGTATATGACAAGTTGTTTGAGTGACATGATATAGTGTTTTTTTTGGTGTTCCATCCGGTTCATCCTTTAGGCTAATTCAGATTTGAGGATTAGTTTTGGGTGGTTAGGTTCCAGTCTCCTCTCAATTGTTGTTGCGAAGGGTTGAATACACGGTTTCCCCCACCAAGTGTAATCCCAATCACCACTACACCAACAACCAATTGGTAATGACATGACATAGTTAAATGGGATGAAATAGAATCTTCTTGGAAAGTTAAAATGTCCCTCTTGATTCAGCCTAATAGTCTAAAAATATTTTATAGGACTTTAGTATTATATTTATACATACGTACACGGTACACCAACATTGATTACATGTTTTTATTAATATATACTTGTAACTAATTACAATTTTTTTTTTTTGGTAAGGAGAAGAACCCTAATGAACACATCTCCCTCACACATTAGCCAATTTAGCTACACAGTCAACGTGAAGTAATGGAATTCACGTACTTAAATTATGAAATGTTAAAACTAATATGAGGCGGTGAAAAAGTAACATGTTTGAACTATTTTGAGACAAAAGGAAGTAAAGACTAAAATTTTTTATGTGACATGAATACTTGTAGGTGATAAAATCAGTCACAATTTTGACCATAATTATTAAACAATAGTAACATAGCATCTTTTGTAATGGAACACCCATCCAAATTTTATAAAATAATTAGGCCAAAAAAAAAAAATAATAAAAAAAAAATAAAAAAATAAAATAGAGCTAGATCTACAATCTTGTTCCCAGATATAAAACTCGTGAACTGCTAAACGTCGCTCCCATTTTGACATGAAAGGACCATATTGCCCTTTCCATAAGTTGGACTATATAAGGCTCTACCACTTGGTTAAAAAGATTCCCGAGCATTTTCATATTGTTCTTGAGCACATTCGATCCACCACTTGGTCAAAAAAATTCCCGAACCCACCATGTCCAACCCCACGACATTCAACCCAAAATTCCCGAGCCCACCACCAAAAATCCCATTTTTTTAAAAAAATTTTATTAAGCTTTAGCGACGGGTTTAGGACAATGGATGACGACAACGATCGTACACCGGAGGCATCGTCGGAGGATTCTGTAAGTCCTTGAATTTATTTTTTTTTTTTGAAAAGCGTACATCTGCCTAAAATTTCCGGATCCACCTAGAATTTCCGGATCCACCATGGAAGATCCGGAAATTCTAGGCGGATCCACCATGGAGGATCCAAATTTTTTAGGCGGATGTCCTTTTTTTTTTTGATTAATTAATCAAAACAACTTTTTTTTTGAAATTAATTAATCAAATTTATTAATGTAATTTTTGTATGATAATTATAATTTTTATTGTGATTATTATTATTTTTGTGATAATTGAGTAATTAGTATTAGTATTATTAGGTAATATTAGTTATTTTTGTGAATTATCTATGTCTTTTTTTTTTAAAAATTTCAAATTTTAAGTTTATGGAGCGTGAAATGGTGTTGTAAGTGTCGTGAGTATTTATATGTGAAGGGTAAATACGGAATTTTAAGAAAAAAAATACGAGCGACGCCTAGTAATTTGAGAGCGACGTTTAACAATCCCCAAAGGGACAACAATTAGTAGGTAATTTAAGAGACTCTCATAACTTAAGAGACAAAAATTAGTAGGTAATTTAATTAACACCAGATACGTAGAATCATAGATGTTCAAGCAAATGACATAGCTATAAATAAGCACAAATGTTAAAATAATATTGACGGCCAAGGAAGAGAAGATGAGATAGATTAAGTTGGAACAAGAGATCAACAGTGATGAATTGGAGAAGAGAAGAGAAGAAGAAGAGTTGAGTAGGATGATGGAAGTTTAATATCTATTATCATGTAGGTATGGAAAACCATTTGTTTAAATCCAGTTTTATCATAAGACTTGTAACCATTGTCGTGGTTATTCTTATAGTATTTTGATTTTTTATATACCACATTTGCAAGTATAACACTATATTTGATCGATAGCACAACATTTGTTCTAGAATATACAATATTTTGTCTTTGTATAAGCAACCTTACTTCTCCTCGAACCCTCCACTAGTTTTTATTTATTTATTTATTTTTTATTTATTTTTTGGTAAATAGAATTGTAGTACCAAAAGAGGCTGCAAAGCAGCACAAGAAAACAAGTAACAGGGAGCCAAAAGGCTAACCAAACCACCAAACACCAAAAGCGCGAAGGGCACACAACCACTAGCCGAGGGTAAAAAATCAAAGGCTACCTTCTAGAAGGGGAACCCTCCATTAGTTATTGTGGACTATGTATCTACAGTCTATGTATATGATTTTAATTACTAAAAAGTCTAGCCTATTTGCATTGTGTTGATATGTATACGTGTTTCTCCTTAGTATTAATTAACACCTCTATTCTCATTATCCAGAAAGTAATTTATCTATCTTATAAAAAAGAGACAAATTATTGAAATAACAAATATAACAACAAATTAACAAAATATTAACAAAATTAAAGGATTACAAACCGAAAAATAGCCAAAAACCTAAACGAGGATATGTTACAGATTAAGGGTTTAGAGAAAAAGGGGCAATTGATGAATCAAAAAATTAAAACCTATTTTAGCATATTGAAAGTTAGTGTATCAATGTATGAACTTATTAAAACTTATCTAAAATCATTAGTTATTAATTTTTCTGAACTAAATTAAAAATTTTGAACTAAAAACATCTTAAAATGGTGATAATTACTAACTTTAATGTTGAAATAAAGTCAAATCATAATCTATTAAATCAAATTTTGATCAAAAATCTATTGTATAAATTCCAATTTAATGTTTGGTTCTTTGTGGTAACATAACAAATACATGTACAACTAATATATTTTTTTTTTAAATGATGGTTGTTCTAAAAAAGAGTCATTTGTTTTTTCCTCAAAAATTATATGAAGTATTAGTAAACAAAAGACAAACAAAGATTATTTTAAACAATAAGAAGATAAGTCAATTGATAAATTATTGTAGACGAATTTTCCTCATCACAACTTCAACAGTCAAATTCACATCAAGTAATTTCGTATTAGAAACTACAACTCTCACAATTGGGCAACGACCAGAGAAAAAGAAGTTAATATGTTTGACAAATGACATAACATTTCAACTAATGAAATCTTTTTTCATATTTCCTAAAGCAATTTCCTAGCTAATTTCTAGCTAATTTCCGACCATATGTAACATGGCATTCAACATAAGTACATAACCCTTCTTATTAACATTTCTAAAAGTAGTGAGTTGACTATAAAAAGTAAAAGTATTTTATTTACTTCTGCCTCATGTACAATGACATGCTTAAATTATATTATTTTTCTTGTTGTTTGACAATATTAAATTTATTAAAAGTTATTTATTTTACTAATACTGCATAGTTTGCTTATAAGTATGAACTTGATATCATTCATATCACATTTATTTTAAAAGTAATTGCAAAACATTAACTTTTTCAGTATTTTGTATTCTCAAAAAAAAAAAAAAAAAAAAAAACTTGACCCACTATTTTAATTTTTGACAAAAACTATTTTAATTACTTTTTTATCAGTAATTATTAAAAGAAATTTTTGTTAGTAAAATAAATGTTGGATTTATTTCATTGAATAAATTAAAGATTTTAATGGTCAAGAATCAAAATATAGTAAGTAGACAAACATGTTACTCAAAACTTTAAAATTATATTGATATGAGTAAATAAGAAGTACTCCTTTTGGTTTTTAAATGTCTCTATTTGACGTATATTTGCCAATGAATACAAAACTTTGACTAATAATATCTTTTACTTCCTCCGTTCTTTTTTTATCGCATCACTTACTACTTTAGGAAGTTTACTTATTATTGCATCATTTCCTTTTTAGGATAAAAAATATCTATGTTCACACTGTAAATACCCAACATACCCTTACTTTTTCACACTTACTTTTTATTTTATCTTACATTACATGGGCAATTTTGTATTTTTACGTTTCTCTCTCTTACTTTTTTCCACTACCAAATTTTGCCTCAAAAACCCTATGATGCAATAAAAAAAAACGGAGGAAGTATTTTTTAATAAGTTTAAATTGTGAAAAGTGAGTATTTGGAACATATATATTGATAGAAAATATATGTTGATGGACAATATGGCAACGTTTGATTTTATGCAGTACAAATATTGGTCAAAGTGATGTACTCGTATGCAAATGGTGCAAAAGTTAAAAGGGGGAACCAAATTGAAGACTGGAGAGTAGAATAAGACTACGTTAAATTACTTCACCTTATTTTTGCTGAACTGAAATTATTTTTAGTGAAATGACATTAATATTGTTGAACCAAAATGTTTTTAATGATTTTTTTTCTTCTTTAAAATAACTAATACTTACTAAACTGATGAAATTATATTCACTGAAATTTTTTTAAAGGTGAAATACGTGACAAAGCCTAAATTTGAGATCGCTATCGCACATAAATTTATTTCGTCAAAAGTTCGTAAAATAACATATTCAAAATGAGGATTGACATGTATAGTCGTTCACATAGAAGAAAGCAATTGCGTCAAGCTATCCATGAGGCATGTGCCAACTTGGTTAATTATGTATAGCTACCAACCACTCCATATTAGTCTACACATTCTTTTTAGATGACCAGCATATACCTACATAACAACCATCATTGTCTCTTTTCCCTTTTACTTTTCCTTTTGTTAACAACCCACCAACCAAACCATGTTCCATACCACATATTATGTCCTTCAAAACTATATTACATCTTACCAAAAATAAAATCAAACTTATTTGTCCATCCACCAAAATTATGGCAAAATCATCAAATATTCCCACCATTTTTCTCCTATCTTCTCTTCTCATCCTAGCCTTACTACCTACAAACCATGCAATATTCTCTAGAACAATTTCTAAAGAAGAAATTGGCATAAAAGACGATGACAAACAAACCCATCTCACCTTCTACTATCACGACACCCTTAGTGGCTCGAACCCATCATCGATCCAAATCGCTAAGGCAAAGTCTACCGATACCTCACCCACCATGTTCGGTGCCCTATCCATGATGGATGATCCCTTAACCGAAGGGCCTGAACCCACGTCCAAATTAGTAGGTCGTGCTCAAGGAATGTACGGGTTTGCGGACCAACAAGAGTCCGCTTTATTAATGGTAATGAATTTTTATTTCTTAGAAGGGCAATATAACGGAAGTACACTAAGCGTTTTAGGAAGGGATGCTATGAACGACAGTGTACGTGAAATGCCCGTGATTGGTGGTACCGGAACGTTTCGATTTGCTAAGGGTTACGTTCAAGCTAAAACTCAAACGTTCGATCAAAAGACGGGTGATGCGGTTGTGCTATTCAATGTGTTTGTGAATCATGCTTCTAGTGTTAGTGGTCAGTCCGGTGGCGGGTCGACCTCGAGTGATGGTGCACCTTCATCTAGCCAAGCAACTCCCTCTAAGATAATGTCACTTAGTTTCTTCATGATTCCTATTTTGTACCTATGTATTTTTTGATTTGAGTAGTGTAATTTTTTGTTTGTTTTAGAGTACTTGTATGTTTGTATGAGAAGGAATATTTCTATCATCTACTCGTTTTTTTTTTAAGTGGTGCAAAAATTGAATTCGTTATGCATAATTGTGATTTTTTGGGTGGATTGCTTTGGTAAAGAGTTGGTGTACCTTATAAACGTCAAGCATATAGTAGTATTATTAGTATGTGGTGTCCATTCAAGCCGCCTCATCCACAACTTTATTTTATTGGTCCTCAAATTATTGATTTGGAAGTTCCAACTTTTTCCGAAAAATCTTGATTTATGTAGTGGGTGTCTACGAATTTGTTTGAAATAGACATTAATAACATGAGCCCGAATTAACAATAGTAGATAAGCACCAATATCAAATAGCTCCTTGCCTCCTTCATCCCACGATTTCCTACTCATCATTTATTATTCGATCATGTGATCAAAGCTTTTTTTTTTTATTTAATCGTGATTTCTGAAATTATATTTATGATGCAGTTGAAATCAAATGAGTATTTTCAAAATATCCAAATCATGCAGGTATGGTAAGAAACTCACCTTATAATTTTAAAGGTCACAAATTTGAGCTCATCAGATATACATATGTTATTATGTTTGGAAAGAGTTTCTTAAATTACATTTCATTTCTATTCTCAAGTGTTGACCTATGTATTTGGACGCAAAGGGGGACCTTCCACCGGGGCCATTTGGGGCCCAACCCCCGGTAAATTATTGCAATTAATTAGTTAATTAACTTAAATAAACTTATTTCACTCATAACATATAAGGATATAATGATTAGTTTTGAATGGGAGATAGATATAAGATTTAAATCCCGATCTTTTTAATATTTTTAGTCAAGATTCGCCACTGTTTGGACGTAGTAGCTAACTTATGAGGGGTGATAATTTAGTAGGATATATATGTACATTCTCTTACCTTTTGAGACTCCATGTTAATGATTTATGAAGTCTCTATTGAATAAAATGTATCACATTAATTATAGCCTATGACTCTGTCACTCTGAGTATGTAGATTTTCGCCTTTTTGCATACAGTATAACTGATATTTCCTTGGTACAGTTCCCCTAATTTAATTTACCTAAACTTTAAAAACATACTATTAAGTGAGGACTTGTTAAATTCATCTTCATATATATGTTCTTTTAAAATATTTAATTTTCAATTTATTTATTAATACGAAACCAAGTGTAATTGACCATAAGCAAACATAATTAAGAAAGTTATTGACCTTTTATCGTATAGATTTTTCTAGTTTGATTCTTATAAGGATATGTAATAACTACTCCATAATAATTTCATTTTAGTCATCCTGTATGGCACAAAAATTTCTCAAAATTTGACAAACGCCATATCTATTATCTTTTTTTTTGTGACATGAGCTTAAACAAACACAACTAATCTAAATTATTAAATCACTTGAATAATTACAAAGGGCATTTATTCTATACTCGTTGTACTCTTGTATACATGTTATTGTGTTATTCAAAGCATCTACTATCCCATAATATTGACAATGGTTTCCATATTGCTAATTTGACATTAAAAAAAGAAAAAAAAGAAAGAAGATTTACTTTTAAAAGCAACATTAATTTGTTTAGTTGTCCCTACTTCATCAAGTATTAGTTGATGTGTCTATGTGTTCTTAACCCCACGGTTACGCTAATATACGCCTTTATTTTCTATTTTTATGTATGAACGTTCATAGCTAGTTTCTCAAAAAGCATAAAGCTCATGTTAGAAAATTATTCATGAAAACTTCGACTTAAAAAATAAATTAAAAAATTTCGGTTCAAAGTTTCTAGAATGTCTTCCTTTTTAGCTGGAGGCTCAACAACTTATGCAAATGTCAGTTTTTCCTTCCTTTCTTCCTCACTAGCTCACCAACCCACCTAAAAAAAAAAATTAATCGTACATATAATATATAAACCGTTGAATATAATTATTGTCAAACCAAAGTTAATGCAAAAATGGCACAAAATATGTCCATACTATTTTCATGTAATCTCATCTTGAGTATATTCATAATTATATTTTCCCCTACAACTCAAGCCACCTTCTCAAGAACCATATCTAAAAAACAACAATCAAATGACATAACCCATATCAAATTCTACTTCCATGACTACGTCCAAGGGCCGAACCTTACGGCTATAAGGATCGCCCAAGCCAACACGACCGACACATCGCCTAGCACATTTGGCGCGCTAGTCATGATCGATGATCCCTTGACCGAAGGGCCAGAGGATGACTCGAATGTTGTAGGTCATGCACAAGGAATGTATGCTTTCGCGGACCAACAAGAATTTGCGTTACTTATGACGATGAATTTCGTGTTTTCGGGGGGATCGTATGACGGGAGTACGTTGAGCGTGATGGGGAGGAATCCGGTGATGGAGCAAGTAAGGGAATTGGCGGTTATTAGTGGAAGTGGTGAGTTTAGGTTTGCTAGTGGTTATGCTCAAGCCAAGACTATTACTATGCTGGATCCAAATGGGGCTACTATTGTTGAATATAATGTTTATGTTTCTCATTAGTTTAATTTCTTTTTTTTTTTTTTTTTTTTTTAGAAATTGTTTATAAGATTTTTATGTAAGATAATATAATATGTGATATTCTTTAGCTATTGAGCTAGATATTATGGTTAATGATTATTTTGATTTGGTAGACTGATTAAATTTTTGCCACCTTCTTACTCAATTAGGCAATTCGTATGGAATTGATTCTTGGTACTATTCAATTGTTCATCAATCTTTTCATCTCAAAGTCTTTCCTTTCTTTTTCAGCCCATATCCATCAAGAATAGTCTGTACAAGTGCTCCGAAAGCATACAAATACTGACTATTCAAATTTTACTCCATAAATTCTTTGGGTGTGTTTTGTTCACCCCTACAGAAATACGAAGTAGGTGATTAGATCCAATCAGGTATACATATATATAACATGAAAAATCTCAAAATCAGAAGTAATCATGTCTAATATGATAAGTTAAGGTGAAAAAATACACCAATTAAGGCCTTGTTTGGATTGAGGGAGATGTATTACAAGGGTATAAAAGTCAAATTAAGCAAAATGAAAGTAAAAATTGGGAAGGAAGAGATAGTGATGGTGTGATTGTAAGGAAAATTGTGTAGTTATGGTGTGGTATGAGGTGAAGAAAGAAGAACTATTACCCTCATTTTGGGGCCGGGGTAATAGATACACTAGGGGGAGGGTGGGTAACTATTACGCTCATTATGAAGGTTTCATCTCTCTCTTTTCCTCATGGCACAACTACCTTATTTCATTTGTAAACCCCTTGTCTCCTATAACAACACCTTTAATTACTCATGTTTTTTCGAGTTTGACTTTTTTTACCCCTTAATATATTACCCCTAATCCAAGCAAGACCATCTGTTTGGTTGGGGAATTTACTATTACTCCTTATTTTATTTATTTATTTATTTTTTTAAAGTTACGACGAGGCACAACTTTGACCATCAATATCTTTAATTGAGATTAGTAAAAAATTATGAAAAAATTAATTTATAAAAGTAGACATATAAGACAAATACGACAACATATTATATAATTATATTTATATATTATAATTAATAAAAAAATTAAGTCAATGATGACATATGCCAAAAAAAAACCAGGTATATATGTGTCTAGAATGCTTTTGTTAAGCCAAGATAACACCATTCTTTAAATCCAAACCAAAAAAATTAGGTATGTGCCTAACCTAGAATACTTCTGTTTACCCAAGATAACACCATTCTTAACTCTCAGATATTGATGTATAGAGTTTTTACTTTTTTGTTTTTATTATAAAACCAACGCATTCATAGAGTGATACGACATGCACAAAAAAAAAAAAATACAAATACTCTAGGCCACATAACAAAGTAATTATCAAATAAATCTTTCCTTCATAAAACCACTATTGTGGAGTAGATCTTGCGGCATTATACAGTAAAACTGAACGTACATTTTTCTCATAATCGCCAAAATATACTTTTTATTAAGAGAGACAATCCAATGATTTGTTGTAGTTATAAGGATATTTTCTCCATCTGAATTATTTGATTCTTTTTTGAATTATTGATAACTTTTGTGATCCTGAAGAACGTTTCATCAACAAACCATTTTTACAATGATGCATCATATTTATGATCCTAAAATTTAAAAAGCAAGAAAAATCTCCCATAAGAAGAGGAGAAAAAATAACAAAGCTAAAGCAAAGGAAAAATTGATGCTACTAGTTCTAATTATGGACATTCTTATCTAAAAGGTTTCAATTATCCATTAACTAATGGTATTCCCAACTTTGGGGATCATTCTTTAAACAGTATATAGATTGTTATGACCGAGTAAACCAATTAAATTTGCCACATGTTGAATTTTCAATGGTCCATTTTACTAAATTATTAGAGTATTGTTTTAAGGTGAAGAAATGAACAGCGCCTTAAGGAAGGGAGTAGATTTTTAGAGTGATGGAGTATTAATTTTTTTTAACTACGCCTAACAAAAATAAGACGTTTGCCATTATTAACTTGTCAAGCTGTATAAAAAAATGATAGAGGTTGTATGTTTTGAGAAGGACCCCTTAAAGTTAGGATCATCTTAAATTGCAATAGTTGAGACTTTTTAAAGAAGATTGGCCATAGTTAGGACTGTTTGGTAACGATCCACAAAATAACAACAATTAGGGCTTTCCACTTGTAATAATCAATGGAAGGCGCTCCAAAATTCACTAATGGAGACTTGGGTTTGAAAGGAGAGAAGAGCGAGGGTGAAGAAAGGTGGTCAAGTGCAAAGTGTTTTCTTTACTTCTATATATATCACTATATATCATCTGCATTGAACATTTATCGTGTTTTAAGGTTTTTTAGAATCCCTAGGGATAAAGGTCGTGAATATAACCGGACGGTCGCACACACCTACAAAATAACGAATATTCCGTTTGACGAAATATTTGCCTCCGACGATCAAGTTAGTGATCGAAAAACAAAAGTTTTTAGAGAGAGAAAGTAGAGAGAAGTTAGAGCAACTCTTATGCAATAAATGAGATGTCTTAAACCACCCCTCCCATCATAAATGATTGGGGTATTTATAAGGGTTGGAATGGGTGCACTCTAGGGTTGGTGCCCTAAAAAGGAATGATCTGTTTGGCGGCGCAATCAGAGTAGGACACGTGTCTTTTGTGGGGGTCGTTATGACGCCTTTTCGGGATTTGGGCTTCCTAATGTAAGGAGGCCTTCTCTCTTTCAGGTGATCCTTTGTTTTGTCACGTGTCATCTTCCTATCGGGATACGTGTTGCCCTTTTATTGGGCCACATGTCACTATTAGGATTGGACCACATGATGGGGTATTTTTTACCCTAAACATGTACCCCTCAGAGCGGGTGGCTCGTACCATATGGGCCGCCTCCTCTAATTTTCACTTGTCCAGACATGTTCGAGTATCAGGCTGTTTCTTGAAAGGGGTAGACTATACCGTCCGCTAAGTTTTGGGAAAGATCCTTTGGGCTAATTGCCTTTAGCCGTCCGCCTGATTTCATCATTGGACTTAAGTCTTGAAATTAGACAGACGAGGGGTGCCGCCTATAATCAGGTGAGACACCTGTCCTCCGCATTTTCCGGAGTAACGATTCAGATTTGCAGATCTAGCCGTCTATTTTGACGTGTCGTTTGCGTAACCGTACATCTTCCCCGTCTTTATTAAAGAAATGGTTTAATTAACCGTTTGAGCTTCTAGGTTAGGTTTTTCAAAAAGAGTCATTTGAGCTTCTAGGCGGGAAAGGTAATTTTACCATTTTTTCCCCATAAATTTTGCCTATATATAGGGCTGGTTTGACTTCATAGAATCACTTTGGAACTTTGTTTTTCTAGAGAGAAATAAGAGCTTCTAGAGAGAGAAAGTTCTTTCCTCCCCCAATCTTCGAGAGCTCCGCCTTATACTTGAGTTCTCCGTTCGAGTTTCTTGAATTTGCCGGTTAGTTGGTCAAGATCTTCAGCATTCCTCAAGTTTTCTACTCGTACAGAGGCAACTGCCTGCTTATTCTTATTTTTTCTTTTCCATACTTGTTTTATATTTAAACACGAATAGGACAACACTCGGATTTGTCCGTTTCTCCTTATGAGGTCGGCCGTTCGCCTAAGATTGAGGAGTCTAGAGTGGACGGAGCCAACTCCTCCTTTCTTTTGAGTGGGTCCGTTTTTAGTGCATACCAACTCACCCCCATCTATTCTTCTCTGTCCCTGCAGTAGAACATGGCACGTACGCGCGGTACGTATGACTGAGAGACAACAAGAAACAGAGGTGACTGAAGAGTCAATCCTTTAGTTCCTCTAAATCCAAATGACACGGACATAGATGACACGAACGCTACATTCTGTGGTAGCGCGTGTTCCATGGTGAAAGTTACTGCCATCTCATCCGGATAGAACACACAACAAAATCCTCCTTCCCAGTCATCAACCTGGGAGATAGGGGAACCGATGCTAGGGCATCCAGCTAAAATCCGGAACAACGCTTTTTATGATATACCAGCTCAATCTTGATGTCGTCCGAGATACTTTCTTTTGAGAGGCCTCCTTTTGTGATTCGGGCGGACGCCGGGTTTGGCCGAGGAGGGGCGTCTGGCCAAAATTTTCAACAACCCTCAACACAAAATACCAGGTTGGCCAGGCCACAGACCGAGATCCGAATTTCTAAACCGTCCGACCTGCCTCCTTGCAATGTTCCTCCTTCCGAAAATCAGGCAGACACTGATGAAGGGAAAAAGGATAAGGGCAAGAGGCCCTTGGTGCCAAAGGGCATCGTGATTGCCGATTCGGGTCAGGGCTCAGTGGGAGGTAGCTTGGCCGAGGCTGCTGAATTAGAAAGAGTGTTGTATTCTGACTTTGGTTCGGCTAGGATCCACAAGCTGCCGTGCAAGAAGCAGAAAAGACAAGCGCTGGGCAGGCGGACGATGAAGCGAATGAGGTCAATTTCAATGACCCGTAAGCTTGCCCAGTCGGCGATGTAGTCCTCGCCTTCCTTCATGACAAATTCGACAAGTTTAAAGAATTTCACATGCTTGGGAGAGGCTACCACATTCAGCCACCGAGGCATTCTTATTCGGTGGCCGCCTCATACGATGAAGGGGCTCAAAGCAGGAGCTTTAATGTATATCGGGCCGCCTTGGAGGTGGGCCATTGCTTTCCCCTTCATCCATTCGTCTAGGAGCTACTTGGCGAATATGACATTGTGTTGTTCTAATTAGTGCCAAACAGCTGGGCCAACATTTTCGAGTACTTGGTGACATGCCTAAGGAATGGCTTCAACCCTAACTTCCCGGTCTTCTGCGAGATGCATAATATGGTGTGAATGAACGCCCAGACGGACGGTGGTTCAATCTTAACACTCGTCCTGACTACTTGGTAGTCCTGCACAAGCCATCCAAATGGCGTGATTGGAAGCATTGCTTCTACCGCATCAAGTCCAAGAACAAGGATTGCGGATGAACAGGTTCAATGTCGAGCCTCTACAGCTCGGACGTGGTGATCACAAGACGACTATGCCGCCTTTTCCCCCGGACCATAGGCACCAACTTGAATATTTCAAAGTCAAGAAAGTCTTTAGGAAAGGGAAGCAAGCGTTCGTGCCGTCTAACTGGATCCCACCAACTGACGGGCTTAGGGATCCGTCATTCATGTCAGCGTTCGACTTATACCATAATTACCCCTTGGTGG